TTTTAATATAAACAAATATGTAAACATTCATTTATAATATTTCAGAAGACCACTCATGCCACTGTGTGCATCCTCTCACACAGCATGAATCCAATCCACAAATACTAAGAGCTCCTACAAATGTATGCATTATAAATCCACAATATGTTATATTGTATGCTTATACAATACAATTCACAAACACATAAAGGTTATTTTGTATCTGTAATTTAATGCATAAATGTGCATACTTCAAAAACATACATTCCAACTGACATTTGCACAATAGACCATAAAACTTGTATGTTTGTCTTTTGCATGCACAGATGCACAGAAGATAACATGCTGTAAATGTTGAAAAATGATTAGATCTACAATATTTAAATGCTCTTTGTAGAGACTTACAAGAAACATCATGAATTTTCTCCCTAACAATACACATTTACATGTCCATATTTGCATTGCAAAAGTTTTAACGAACATGGAAAATATGAGTTTAAACGTGATACGGAACGTTTCCTTGAGTCTGGAAGCTTTTTCATCTAAAATGAATAGATAAGCTTGTTAATGTAAGTTTTTTAATTGGTTTGACTGCAGCATGATTGACTTACATACAGGGTGCAACAGGGCTGAAAATAATTCATTTAGAAAAAGAAATTGCCATATACAGTATCATCTGTATTTCTTCTTATCCGTGTTTAATACCGGTTTCTATAGTTACTCATTGATTCTTTGTTTAATCTCACCTGTTGCTTGTTTCGTCCCTCAGTTAGTATTTATGTTGCTGTGTTTGGTTCAGTTCTTTGTCAGTTCTTCTTGTTATAAGGTTTGGCTTGCTGCACTCCTGTGTTCCAGTGTGGGTTTTGTTTTCATTTAATAAAACTGTGTAGCAAATACTCCCCAAATGTGACAGAAGAACAGACATAAAAACATGGATTGAACCTATGGCTTTCAGTTTATGGACAAACTCACTTTAAAATTTGGTGAGATTAATCCTTAAACCTCCCTTTATAATTAACTGGCAAGTAAATGATTTAAGATAAAGTTTCATTTTCTAGTAATGTCTACTTTAACCTTTCATTTTCTCATAAAGACCCTCCCCTTCGAAAAGCTATAAAATGAGCACTGAAACAGGCACGTCATTTCATTCACCTCCTGATCAAATATGGATCTGCAAATCTCAGTTTTTCTTCTGTTCATCCTTTTCACTGCAGGTACTAAGACAAATAGTGTTTATAATGTTATTGAGTGCAAATACAGATAGAGTTTCTCTCTCATTGTCTCTCTCTCTCTGTAATCTTACTAAAGGACACTCTCTCAGCTGTTATGAGTGCAGGTTCAATCTGACGGGTTCTTGTGCAAATCAAAATGAAAAAACATGTCCCAGTGGATTTTCCAAGTGTATGAGTACAACAACAGAGGTAAAAGTTGGTAAGTCCAAAATGATGGATTGAAATTCTCTGATAACTGATAAAGATGCTGGTGTTTTTACTGGTGCTGCTTCACTGGAGATGTAACTTCTCACAGAACTGCTGATTTCCTCACAGAAATTGTGATTGTAATCACAGAATATTCTATTTATATTTCTGTTTCTCTCAGTTTTTTTAATACAATTAGTATTCAAATTGATTGAATCAAATGAGAAAATGCTACATTTTAATGTTTATAAATATATTTTCTTTCAAAATAATGTGTTGAACTGGTCTTTCCTGAATCATTCATGTTTTAGGTGGCATTAATGCTAAAGTGAAGGCTAAAGACTGTGCTGTTGACTGTGTAAGTGGGTCCATGAACCTCGGCACTGCAAAGACATCTTTAGCGTGCTGTAACACAGACCGGTGTAACGTCCAAGACGCTCCAGGTATCATGCTTTACTGACCATATGCAAAAAAAATTATCTTTAAGATCAACACTCATTTTACTTCCAAAGGAGATCAGAAAATACAAATTATACCATATAGAGTGCAGCTTGCCAGTTGTGAATTGATTGATTGGAACAGCTAACAGAGTGTTATTATTTCATTACATGCTATATTTTGCACAGAAGATAAAACAATGCATGTTTCCTCCTGTAGATCCCAGCACTAGCGCCCCCAATGGAAAGACTTGTTACTCTTGTGATGAGAAGAGCTGCTCAAACATATTGAGCTGTTCAGGAAGTGAAGACCGCTGCTTTAAGGCAACAGGTGAGAATCTGGAAAAGAAAAAAAGTCATTATTTGTATCTCTCTGATGTTTGAGATCACATACAGATCACATTTACCAGTTTCCAACTTAGACCAACCTCTCTTTTCTTTCTTTTCATCAGGCACTATCGGTGGCCAGTCAACAGTTGTAAAAGGCTGTCTCTCTAAATCTATCTGTGATGCTGAAACTTCGGTTAGAGATGTTCAGAGTGCCTCATGTTGTGAGGGGAATCTGTGTAACAGTGCTGAGAGTGTCACTCAGAGCTTCCTGTTCCTC